GTACCTCAAAAAGATGTTGGTCGTTTTTTAGAGAAGTTTTCTTTGGAGGACGATATAAACATACCAGAGTGGTTGAGAAAGATATGTATGATAGTTTTAACGAAATTAAATCTATATTGGGAATGTTGATATCTAAGGCGGTGACAGAGTAAGTTGAAGTGATGGATGACGCTAAGTAGATGCAGACCCCTCCACCAACATTATTTGCGCGGTCGCTTCCATAAATTGTAAATCTAGGAATGTTAATAAGTGAATCGGGAATAGACAACTTGAGCCAAGTTTCAGAAATAAGAATAATGCTGGGAGAAAAATGTTGAACTGAGCACAAAAAACTATTGAATTTAGCAGTTAGAGAATCCAGGTTAGTATACATAAGGGCCCAATCGTTAAATTGTGGAGGTTGTCGGCTAGCGAGATTGAAAGGGATTTGTCTCCACAATTTTTGGAATACCGTTATGATATTTAATTGTTAGGTTATTTTCGCCATTCCGTTGTTTTAGCTTCTAATTCATCTCTTAAGTTTTGAAGAATCTGTTATTGGGTAGGGGTTTTGTCGTCGATAATGGTAATGTTTTTCAATGTTGCTATTTCTAAGACTTTCTTTTTGTTTCGTAGAACGTTTTTGGCCACGTGTTCGGAGGGCATAATTACTTTGAGCCATCGGGGATAGCGACTATTTTGTTCACCTTTTCCAACGCAAAAAAAAGTGATAGGTTGATCGGAAGAATTCACTGCCTTCAGTACATTATTAATTTCTGTGGAGTCGTGTCGCTTTTTTTCCTCAAAATTTCCGTTAATCTCGGAAATGCCGCGAATAATAATATTATTGGCCCTTTTAAGACGATCGACTGCTTCATTTGCCAGTTTATCAAAAAAATTTACTGATGTTACTTCATCAACCTTATTTAATTTATCCTGAACAGCGGAAATCTTGGAATCTAATAACTTAATGTTTGATTTCAAGTCTAGTTTAAACGACTCAAATTTATCGAAATCTGAACTACAGTTATTGCACACAATTTTAATTCCTCGTACCTACTTTATTTCGAGTGACGCGATCGTCAGTCGATAGCTCGGTACAGCCAACGTGTAAATGTCTTTTACATCCGTCGCACTGTAGGTTGTTTCTGTCGCGATCCGACACTGATTTGGAACAATTCGCGCAAATGCTGAGCATGACAAATATAAAGAATTTATATCTTACGTTGAAAAACAGAAATCGATTAAAACTGAATTTCACAAAAAAGCACAGCACAAAATCAATTTTAAAAATTTTAACTTATTGTAAATAAAATTCACTTTCTTGCAGAGTAATTCGCTAATATAAAACTTGTATAACTACACAAAAATAAACGGTAATTTACAGAGCGATTTTGAGTACGTGTTGTCTTTATAAAATGTAGATCAATTAGTAGGGTTCATACCAAACTTAGAAAATTACTTAGAAATAGCTATTATTCATTAGCAAAACTAAATCCACTTTACTTAAGGTAAACCAAGGGTAACTAGCTATACCGAAGAACTACTTCCCAGTCTATGGAGTCTACTACAAAAGACCGAATTAGACAAGTTACTCTAAATAACGATTCAAGGATATTCACAATAGATCTGAAAAGGTCGAGGTGGGGGAGGCCACGTGGCCCACAGTCCTAATTAAATCTAATCTTATCTACTTAAGGTAACTTACCCTTTAATAATCGTACCTCCGATTACTTAAACACCATGAAGTGGTATCAAAAATAAATTTGAAAAGGAATCAATTAAATTTAAATGGCGGTGAATCCATTCAACATGGATCACTTGAAAAATATCCCAACTTATAATTGTATGAGATTTAATTTGTCACTCAAAATCATTAAACAATGATTGCAAAAAGAAAATAATAACCTACGGTTGCCAAAAATTTGAATTATATTAACTTAAATTTCATACGCACGCCATATAACCCTGTGGTTTATGTATAAAAAACCCCCAAATAATAAAATAATGAAAAAACTTAAAGGAAATAGGATAGTAGAGATAGAGTAGAGTAGGGTACCTTTTTTTATTAATTAACCGGAATTTAGTTCCGTAGCTTTCCTGAATTTATTTATATTTTCTGTTTGAATAATAAATATAAGTATACGAAAAAATAAAATCCTAACGAGTATAACCCAGACAGCACAATTCAATCCATTGGATGTCCATTGGAAGTCCATTCATGGACATATCGGCTGTCCAAAGGACGTCCAGCATTTTACCAAAGGACATCCAATGGACATCCACTGGACTATACAAATGTCTCACTCCTGGACGTCCGTTTGGACTCCATGAAAGGTCCATATATGGACTCTTTTTGTATTGCTTTTGGACAATTTATGGACATCACCCATATTAATATAAAATAAATTAATTGCAACTATTGACTTATTTTATTGTCATAAATAATATCAAGCATGTATTAGTTTAATACGCACTCCTTTCTGTTGACCTTCTCAGCCATTTTCTTAAGGCTATTTCGTTTACTTTTTAAGCAGCACCATTGTCACTCTCAGCAGCAGCTAAAAAAAGACATTACATTTTATACGAATATTGAGTCTTAAATCAATCGTTTAATAAACGCCTGATCAGGCAAAAGTGATAGTTAAAAATGTAAAATTTTTAGATAAAATATTATTAGCTAATATGAAAATATGCATTGACTAATGTACTTTACCCCTATACTTACATATAAACAAAAAACTGCTCATTGTTCCTTTAAATTACCATTTTACTTTCATGCCATCATATTATGTGAATTCTTTCGTAAGGGTATTAGAAATTATGGAAACAAACCATCTTTTTATAAGTTCGTCATGTCCTTGTCTCTGGTTTTGGTAACGGCTGAATCTAAAATTGCAATAAAAATATGTATTTGTGAACATATAAGAGAAATAACTTATGAAACGACTGTCAATGCATTATTTCTTAAACGTTACAAAACGATTCTATTTTATTTAATAAAAGTAAAACTTACAGCTTCTTTAAACATATTTGTATCTTCTAAATAGCCTTCTACTTCTGCTAACGTCTCATGCAGTACAAATAGAAACTTTTCTTCTGCTTTGAAAGTTTTCTTACCTCTTAGTTACAATAATAATTGTGTTGACATCATCTCGAATTTGCAGCATATTAGTTAGCTCTTAGTAAAGCCATTTTCTTAAATAGGTAGGTACATCATTTGACAAAAGGTCTAAAAGAAAGGAATTCTTTGAATGTAAATCGAAAACATAAAGTTTAAAACATAATTAATAGGTTATATTAGTTTAAAACAAACGATTTGCTTTTTAATTTTTAGATTTTTAAATGATTTAATTAATAATTATACTTATTTTCTTACCAAATAAACATCTATGTGCTACATATAGGCTGTGTATTCAATGGCTGCACCTACTTTGATTTTCTTTTACTATACGGATAATGGTGGCACTGCGCAGCTTCCTGAGTGCCTTTTAAAAGGAGATAGAAAACTCCGCCATTTTGAACCCTTATTACGTGTTGCCTACATCTTGGCGCAATATTTTTAATCATCCGCTTCTGCTTCGGAATTGTCGGTTTTCTTGTTTTAATCTGACAGGTTAAAACGACTAAACCGACAATTCCGGAAGCAGAAGCGGATTATTAAAACGCACCTGATATTTTGCTTGCTGCTGTCAGTGTCAGTGAATATTATTTTTGGAGTCAAAGTTTATTGCCAAAGAATCAGTTAGCTCACTCGGATCAGTTGAAAGTTCCAAAATAACATCCACTCCAGGGATACAAATTCAGGATACGCAGAAGACTGCTGTTTTATTGACGGTTGTCATATATTGTATTATTCGAGTTGCGCAGTATATAAACTGGAACATTGAGATCAAAAGTGCCGACACAGATTGAGCGATCTGATTCTTTAGCTATAAACTGTGTCATAGGGTTCAAAATGGCCGCGCCCTATGTTGGGCATGTCGGACCTCTCTCTTGCCCAGTATAGTAATCAAAGTATGTGGATGGCTGTGTTTTCTTCTTAACCTCTTTCTTCTTTTCTTCTTTGAGTTTACCTGAGTGGCCTTTTACTTTTCTATCTTGTCAACAGAGGCGAGAGTAAAATTATTTGATTTATTTTAATTAAAACCTAGTAGTAAATAAATTATACAAGAAGAATTATAATAATTTATTATAAGTTAGTCATTTTTATAGTGTCCATCATGGACATTTTTTGGACATCCATTGGACTTCTGAATGGGTATATTCATTGGATAACGGAAAACGGATGTCCAATGAATATCCATATGAAGTTCATGGACATCCAGGACATTATTTGGACAAATTTTGGACGTCCAATGGACGTCGTGTGCTATCTGGGAAAATGCTCGTTACACTACTTGTTTCAACAGGTAAACTGAAACTTTAAAATAAACTGGCGCCCAAGCACACCCAGTTCGAATGTCATAAGTTAGAGTATTTATAACCAGTTGAGAAAACCTCTCAAAATGTCCCAAATTATTTCTATGGTGGTCAGAATTGTTCATTTTATTAATTTTCATAATTAAATACCACAATAACCATGTTAATTTTACTTAATGTCGATAGCAACCAATCACGAAAGTTGGTTGCAATTTCACTGTTTTTATTTCATGAAAATATTAACATGATATAACTTTTTTATTCACGTCGCCCAATACTTAAATTAAAAATCAAAGAGTAAAATACCTTTTTCTCACTTTTAATAATGATGCGCGACTTTTTGTGCCGAGTGTATTCTGGAAAGAAAAGAAAGTGTATAGGTTATGTATATTATATAGTAATCCGAATAAATGATTATCTAAGCTAGACGTCTACTGGACTAAACGTGTACTAAACTTATATCAAAAAAGAACGTCCACTATGTATCGATATCAAATAAATGGATCTAAATTGGACATTCATTGAACATCCATTGGACCGTATGCTGTCTGGATATGTAAAAAAATTTAGCATGATCCTTATAATACCTATATGTTTCCAATATAATAGTCCAATAAATACAAAAACCATTTCTTTGTATAAAAATATATTGAATGTAAAAATAAATTCAAATAACAAATTACTATAATTGATTGCTATAATATATGACAAATTTATAAAATGATAAATTTTCAATATATACAAATCAATTAACAGAATTTTAAAACTTAACAACTACTTTTTTATATGTAACAACTTTAAAAGTGTTTGTAACAACACAGCCTGCTTAAGTAATGTCTGAAGTAAAAGATTTAATATTTAAAATCTAAAAATAAAATAATGATTTGTTTATTCTACAGTTATGATCAGGTCTTCTGCTTCGAGCTTCATATTCATAGCGGCGTCAATCGTCTTGACGGTACCAGCTACAGGACTTTGAACGACAGTCTCCATCTTCATGGCAGAAAGAATTACTAGTGGTGTTCCCTTTTCTATCTTTTCGCCCACTTTTACTCTGATATCAATTACAGTTCCAGGCATGGGGGCTCCTATTTGTTGTTTGTTCGTTTTATCAGCCTTTGGATGGAAGTGCATTTCTTTTCCAGCATCTTTGTCTCTGATCAATACCGACCTCAGTGTACCATTCAGTTCAAAGAAAACTTCCCTTTCTCCGTTCTCGGTTAAATCTTCAGCTACGGCTAAAGTTTTGATACCTAAAGTTTTACCTTTTTCTATTGTCACTTCGAATTCTTCACCCACTTTAGGTCCTACAAGGAATATCCTAGTATCCAGTTTATCTACTGGACCATATTGTTCGTTAAAGGCTAAATATTCGTTGGTTACTTGGGGATAGAGAGCTGCAGACATGACGTCCCGATCAGTAGCATTGGGGAATGTTTCTTTCAAATCTTGACCCAATTTGTTAAAGTCCAAAGGAGGCAAACTTGCTCCAGGTCTACCTTCGATACGAGGCATATCCCTGAGGACCTTAGACCTCAATGGTTCCGGGAAACCACCGTACGGTTGTCCAATGTGACCTTGAAGGTACTCTACGACTGATTTTGGGAATGAAAGTTCTTCGGCTTTGTCTAAAACGTCTTGCGTGTTAAGTTTGTTCTGGACCATGAATTGAGCTAAGTCTCCAACTACCTTCGATGATGGAGTTACTTTAATGATGTCACCTAGAAGTTGGTTGGCTTGGCCGTAGGCTTTCTTGACATCTTCGAAGAAGTCACCGAGACCTGGAATTGAAAAATATTGCCTTAATTATATCTAACAAAGAGTTGTAATGATTACATAGGATTACAGTTTTGAGATATCAATAACTGCTTCAATCTGAATGCCTTCCGTTAATTCGAACTAATTTTTTTAATTTGATGACTGATGAGACTATTTAATAGAACAACTGTTTCTGGGCTAGATAAATACGGGAGGAGAAGTTGACATCAATTTTTGAACCTTACATAGATTTGTTTAAAGAAAAGAAAAGAAATTTCTGTTTTCTGAAATATACATAAGAAGGAAGTAGTAAATAAGGCTAACAAAGCCCTGATGGTATATAAGAACATTCCGGAAGAAATATGGGAATGTACCTTAAACACTGCGATGGAGGTTTAGAGCAATTGTGGGACTAATCATCACATAAAAAGCTGCAGCCTGGAGAAATGGAACTATTTTAACTGCTACTACAGCTCCAGAACCGTAAATACCAAATCTTTTTTAGACGAATAGAATTGAAAGGATTGATATATTAGACATCAAGAATATTTCACGTGACACCCAACAATATAACAACAATATCGGGTCTTCCAGATACTGACTAGTACCTCAACGAAACTTTGATGATAAATGGATTTGAACTATAAATATAAAACCAACTCTACAAGTTCGTTGCAAGATGATTTTTTAATAATGGATTTGTTGCTCTTGTCTCATTCAATAAAAAATTCTTTGTAATTGTTAATTCGGAAGAATTAAAATTAAAATATGGGCAAAAATCAATAAATGTATCTAACTACACCTACCTAACGAATAGGCTTGGAACTGCAAGTTGGTATATTGTCCTCCAGGAATTTCGTTTCCATACACGTCAGCATTACCACTCTTCATTGTTGTCGTACATTCGAACGGAGCATACAAAGTCCTAGTTTGTTCCCAAAAGGCCGAATATTCGGAAACTGTGTCCAATTTTATACCAGTATCATTTTGAGTACCCTTAAAAATAGGAGAACTTACCGAAAATTGTCAAGTAAAAATAAAATTACTTACCTGTAAACTGGCTACTATAGCTCCCATGCTAGGCTGACTGGTGAGACCAGACATCGAGTCAACGGCTACATCTACTACATCAGCACCGGCTTCAGCGCATGCCAACATTGAGGCTACACCAGCACCACTAGTATCGTGAGTGTGAATGTGGATTGGAAGGTCAGGATATTTGTCTCTTAAAGCTGAAATGAGGATCCTAAAACATATTACAATTTGAATACATCATAAATTGAAAATCTTCAATGATCTGTTATAGATAACTTTATCTTATAAATAAATATATTAAATTAATTAAACCTACTTAGCTGCTTTCGGTTTAAGCAATCCTGCCATATCCTTAATGGCTAATACATGAGTACCAGCTTTAACAAGTTCATCGGCAATCTTGAGGTAGTATTTTAGGTCATATTTCTTTTTGTTAGGATCGCTAACATCTCCAGAGTAAGAGATCGCAGCTTCTACTATACCACCAGCTTTACCAGCGGCGTCCATACCAACAATCAAGTTAGGAAGATAATTTAATGAATCGAATACTCTGAATACATCCATACCGGTTTGGACCTAAAATCAATATTAAAATCATATAATAATAAATTATTTGTCAAAAACTTACCGCTAGTTCGCAGAACTTGAAGACAACATTATCGGGATAGTTGGTATAACCAACAGCATTAGCTCCACGGAGCAACATTTGGAAGGGGATATTAGGAATCAATTTTCTCATTTCTTCTAGTCTCTCCCAAGGACATTCGTGCAGGAACCTTAACGCTACGTCAAAGGTAGCACCTCCCCAATTCTCCAAGGAGTACAATTGACTGAAATTGTGGGTAACGAAGGGTGATATTTTGAGGAGATCATGAGACCGTACTCTGGTGGCTAAGAGGGACTGGTGAGCATCTCTGTACGTGGTGTCCATGAGTAGAAGGCCTTTGTGGTTACGTACGGCCTTGGCAAAGGCTTCGGGACCTTGTTCTTTGTATACTTGGCGTAGCCCTTTTGGTGGTTGAACACCTAGATTTTAAAATAAACATTGATAATATATACAATACGAGTTTGGAATGGATCTGAGCCATTTATTAAGAATATGGTAAGTAAATTCAGCAGGTTTAAAGTATATGTTTAGGTACACAGATTAACAAAGAATGTTAATTCTAATGATTACTATATTTTAATAACGTTACTTTTAAAAATTACCATATATCTAAGAAAGGGCTCAATTAAATTTACAAAATTCATGTCTACAGGGTGAATATTATTTACAGGTACCGATATTTGTATTATTCATTTTCTAAAGATAATGAAATCAAAAATTTGACATTTTAAAATTTTGTTTAATAATCGCATAGTACAATATTTAATTATTTTTAAATAGGTTAAATTAAATTTAGATTTTTTTAATACCCACCACCAATAAGAATTAGTAAACAATAAAACGTAATAAACATTTTGTATTGTGTTAATAAAAAAAGTATTAAGTATTACAAACAATATCCTTGAACCAACAAAGCAAAAAGCAAGAAAAAGCTATGACTCATCAATAATTAAATGGTATGTTTGGTTGGTTGGTAATCCCGATGTTCCGTCAATGACTTCATTAAGCGAATCTTGTAGGTTGCAGTTCAAAATAGTTTTATAATATAGGCATATTTTCTAGTTTAAATACCTGCGCTGGTTAGAACGTTACAGCCTTATTATTAACATTAAAGTTTTACATCTTCCCCAAGAAGACATCAAATAAAATTTGATACGCTAAATACTAAGGTAACCACGGGCAAACCCGTAACATAAAAGAAACGAGAAACGATTTGATTTTGAACGAAATACCAAAGGACGATAAATATTTAGACGTTAAATTTTCGTCTTTGTAAAGCATTGGGGTTAATTAGGCCAAATCTATACTTTTTTAAAGCAAAACACCCTGTAGGTAGTTATACATATTTGATTGTTTTCACATCGTCAAATAATTTTATATAACTTCATATAACTGTTATATATAGGGTGTGTCAAAATGTGAGATTACGATTTTCTTATTTTTTTAAATGGATTAATGTATTAATTAATTGGTGGTATGCCATACAGAATATTTCATTAAAAAAATTGAGAATCGTTACCAAGCATTTTGGCCCACCCTATATACAACATAGCAAATAAATTAAGTCTATTAAAATTGTTTGACAATGTAAAAACAATCAAATATGTATAACTACTTGTAGGGTGTTTTGCTTTAAAAATGTATAAGTTTGATCAGCCTGTCGTTAATGGACACCCTGTATATTTAGGAATATTTATTAAACATACATACATACAGCTTTTTTATTAATATTTTTTTCGTATTTCGAATAATAAAACAACTATCGATCAATTATGCACTGATGGGACATCCTATATATATGTTATGGTCTACATGTTGGTATCTTTGGATGGGTAAACTTATAAGGAATTTTATGCTAAAATATTATACAGGGTGTTGCATTTGAAAATCTGAGTAAATTGTACTTAATATAAGCAATATTTAGGATATGTTTCAAGACACTCTCTGTATAAATAAAGATTGTTAATTTGTTAATGGTCCAAAAATAACGTCGTTTTAACGAGATATCACGTCATTTTGACAACATACTATCTCGTCATTTTTACGAGTTAGCATCACATAATTTTATATCATATATGAGGTTAAATTAACTTCCACAAATGAAGCTTATTGTCCGTGACAAACTGACGTCATATTTCACTTAAATAACACGTCATATTTTTTGTCACAAGACGTATCAGGTGTCCAAAATATCACGTCATAATGACATATGGCTGCTAGCTGGGGAGTAAATACATACACGTATGTATACAGGGTGAGGCACCGAAAACGAAACAGATCGCATATCTTGAAGAAACATTTTTTTTTGAGAAAATGCAAAAAGAGGTCGATTTTTATTTCAAAGGGGACATCTTTTGATCATATCCTCAACTATCCTACATCCCTCCCCACCCCTCTGTCACTATTACCAATGAAATTGAAATAGGGAAAGTACTAAGTGTGACACATCATTGAAAAGGTAATTTTATAAGGAATTTGACTGTGTGACAGTTTATTAAGTAACTTTTGATTTTGGCGCCATCTTGCGGAAAAAGTTTGAATAAATAAATATTTTAAATAATGATACTTCATTTGAAAGTAAAACTCATAATAAAAATTAAAAATAATAAAAAAGTGAACATAAAAATTAAATTGAAAAATTTAGGACAACTCCCATAATTAAAAACTAAATTACTTCAAAGTAAATGTTCAAAGTGTTGTCCATTAACTTCCATACTCGAATATAAATTATTCTCAAATCTATATGTCTGACGTTCTGGAGCATTTCTGGAGTTATTTGACGACCTTCGGTAATAATACGTTTACGTAACTCTTCTAAGGAACCTGGCTGAGTGGCGTATATTTTACTTTTCAGATATCCCCATATAAAGTAATCTAAGGGGGACAGATATGGAGATCGTGGGGGCCATTCAATAAATCCTCTTCGTCCAATCCAATGTCTAGGAAAGTTTTCATTTAAGTACTGACGAACCGATGCAGCAAAATGTGGAGGTGCCCCGTCCTGTTGAAATATTAGGTGATCTTCAAGGTATCGGTTATCGTTTTCTATTAGGTCTGTTAACAGTGGATCAACGGTGTTTTCGAGTAATTTCAAATACATACATATCCCCAGTTAAAGTACCTGGTAAAAATAATGGACCAACAATACGATCGCCAAATATTCCAGCCCTTTTCTGGGTGTTGAGTATGCGTTTCATGAAATACTTTTGGATTGGAATCTGACCAGTATCGACAAATATGTAGATTGACAGTCCCGTTAACATAAAAACTGCATTCATCTGAAAAACAAATGTTATAAAGAAAATGTGGATCTTGTATAGCATGCTCGCCCATGATTTCACAAAATTGCAAGCGGCGATCAAAATCGTCTTCGTTAAGTTCCTGAACTAAATGAATTTTATAGGGATGGAATTTGTTGGCTTTCAAATTTCTCCTGACGGTACGGTCACTTACTCCAGATAATTCTGCAAGCTTCCTTGTACTAAGAGTTGGATCTGCAACAACTTGTACTAAAACGGCTACCTCTACGGCTTCGTTTCTTACTGGATTTTGAATCGGCCGTTTTTTAGTTTGTACAGATCCTGTTTGTCGAAAGTTTGAAATAAGTTCCAAAACGTACTTACATTTAATCTGTTTGTTTGGGTTTCCTTCATTGAAAATTGTACAGGCAGTGTTAGCAGATTCGTTATTTTTTAAATAACAGTCAACAATTTCTACTCTCCCTGAATAGAATACACCATTTTTATGTTTTACTCGCTAATAGACTTCTGTGCTTGAAGCATATACTTTGATTACTATACGAGGCAAGAGAGAAGTCCGACACGCCCAACATAGGGCGCGGCCATTTTGAACCCTGTGACACAGTTTACAGCTAAAGAATCAGATCGCTCACTCTGCGTCGGCACTTTTGATCTCAATGTTTCAGTTTATACACTGTGCAACTCGGATAATACAATATATGACAACCACCTATAATAAAACAGCAGTCTTCTGCGTATCCTGAATTTGTATTCCTGGAGTGGATGTTATTTTGGAACTTTCAACTGGTCCGAGTGAGCTAACTGATTCTTTAGCAATAAACTGTGACTTCAAAAATAATATTCACTGACACTGACAGCAGCAAGCAAAATATCAGGTGCGTTTTAATCATCCGCTTCTGCTTCCGGAATTGTCGGTTTAGTCGTTTTAACCTGTCAGATTAAAACAAGAAAACCAACCATTCCGAAGCAGAAGCGGATGATTAAAACGCGGAGTTTTCTATCTCCTTTTAAAAGGCACTCAGAAAGCTGCGCAGTGCGACCATTCTCCGTAAAGTAAAAGAAAATCAAAGTATGTGGCTTGAAGTATCAATAACGCTAAACTAGCAAATAGACCTGGTAGTTATGGAAATAAAAACCTTTATTTATTTTACGAAAACATAGGCGTAGTAAGTTCAATTTTATTCCAAAAGTAATAATACATTAAATTTTTAAATTTGGCTTTCACATGACAATACGCTTATTTGAACTGTCACATGTCACACAGTCAAATTACTTATAAAATTACCTTTTCAATGATGTGTCACACTTAGTACTTTCCCTATTTCAATTTCATTGGTAATAGTGACAGAGGGGTGGGGAAGGATGTAGGATAGTTGAGGATATGATCGAAAGATGTCCCCTTTGAAATAAAAATCGACCTTTTTTGAATTTTCTCCAAAAAAATGTGTCTTCAAGATATGCGATCTGTTTCGTTTTCGGTGCCTCACCCTGTACATAACGCACAGACGACCATTTTTTGAATTTGTAGACTTACCAAGTGGTTGGAATCGTGAAGAAATATGTTATAAAGTAAGTATAAAAAAGCTCTTTCATTGGCACGAGTGTAATACTGCTCCATAGGTAGGGGGTCTCAGTGAAAGTTATTTATAATGACACGAACTTTATTGTAACTTTCAAAACGATTACTCATCTAGAAATCAGCATTTTCATGATTTAAAATGGTCAGTAAATATTCAAAAAATCACTGAATTTTGCGTGTTTTAAAATTACTACATCCTGTTATTTGTGTTGTTTAAAGTAGGTAGATACTAGAAAAATTGTTTTTAATACAATACATGCCAATATTAAACAAAATTAACCTATTCCTAATAAGAAGAAACTCAGTTAACAATCATTATCTAAATAAAACATTATATTGGAAAAGTATCAGGGGCGGAACATAGGGTCAACCATGTTTATTTGTCATTAGTGTCATCGGCATGAAATTTGCCGTTATTATTTTGACTTTTAAATTGATTTAGAAAATTAAGTAATTAATCATTATTTTTCGGTTTTAATTTTTATCATATTTACAATGTGGCCTACGTATTTAATACATATAGATATTGTAAAAATAGGCAGTATTATTTTTTTTTTCTAAATAAATTATTATAAATTATTAAATAATAAAAAATAGAATATACTAACTTGGATTTGCCTCTGGATTCGTCGCCAGGTATTCTGTTAAAAAAGAAAAAACAAAAGCGTGCAAATTATCTAAAAAAAAAACTACAAAAAAACACACATGCAACAAATAAAATTAATCAACATAAAAATATAATACCGAAACATAAAACAAATCAAACTCTTTTTTAAATCAAAAAAATATATTTATTCTATAATTCACTTTTATTTTTTATATTTGGTAAAAAATCGATTATTTTATTTAAAAATTAGTCCAATTTTTATTGTTTTGATCATATCAAATAATTTAGACAAAAATAAAAGCGAATTATTTTATTTTGTGACCTAAATTTTACCAAGGACCATCACCTCCTGTCTTTAAAAGAAGAATAATTAAATTTTAATAAATTATTGGACAAAATTAACGCACTATAAGTCAAATTTTGTAAAAAAAATACCTTACCAGATTAACCATCAAATACTGCTTTGCATAGGTATTCCCTGACTTTCCTCTGATTTTCCAAAATTCATTACCTACATTTCTGTTGTTTGGAATGCATCTCACATCATAAAAATGAATATTATAACAAACATATTTGAATATTTCGACATAGTTCACATCATACACAAAAGAATTATTATATAAAAATAATCATGGCAAGATTTAGGTACCGGTAATTTTATTAGAATTTTCGGTCTTTTACCTGACTTTCCACAACCAATTAAATATCCCACATTACCTGATTTTACAGTAAATGCTCATCCTGTTTTTATTGTTCACTTACGGTTTGGTCCTCCTTTGAGAATTGGAAAAGTTCAAATTGGCTATTCTTTTCATATTTTTTTATTTTGATTTTCATTTTCAGGTTTGAGTTAACTATTTAAATAATATAATTATTGACCTATATCTTTTTTTTTAATTTTAAGTCATTACAATAATTATTAAATAGGTTGAATAAAATGGTGTGTTAATTTTGTCCAATAGTTCAATTATAGTGAAGAAAAAAAAACTACAACCCACCTTCAAAATAGATATTCTACCACCTATTAATTTAAAGTCAAGTAAAACGAAACGTGCAGTAACTAGTAGGAGTAGGTATAACTGAAATATGTGCAATTAATAAAACTGCGACGAAATTTATAGAACATTACACGTAAAATGCAACGTTGCCAGATAAATACTGTTACCTTGCACCTTGCAGTGGCCTGCGGCTGTTATACGAAACGTACGAATAAAGAAAAGAAATGTAATGTCACCCATCACCCTTCAGCGTGCTGCGGTCGTCATAAGTAAAAGTACGAGTAAAAGAAGAATATAGAAAAGTCTAGAAATGTCCAGAAATGTCATTTCGAGTCTTGAAACGTCTGGACGGTTCAAGAAGGTTCTAGAAGGTTCAAGCTAGCTATATAAGTCGATGATCCTGACGTCAGAGTTTCAGTTTTATGACAGAAATACTAGATCCCTTGAGTACAAAACAGGCATGAATACTTTAGGTTCCCAAGCATGATTTTTAAAGATGAAAGAGGAGAAGTAAAGGCGTGGGAAAGAAGAAGAGGAAAAAAAGGAAAGGCGCAGGAAAGAAGGACGAAGAGGAGCAAAAGAAAAGGCATAGGAAGGAACAAGACGAGGACAAGTAAAGGCGCAGGAAGGAAGAAGACGAGTAAAAGGAAAGGCGCGGGAAGGAAGAAGAAGAGGAAAGGGACAGAAATATAAAGGAAGAAGAGAAGAAGGAGGAAAGGCGTAGAAAAGAAATGGTTGAAATTATAAATCCAGGAAACCTTCGAGCAAGAGGTTGATCAGCTTAATATAAGAGTAGACCATTTAGCGTAGCAATAAGAACATTTAAAAACTAATTTGGAACAGCAGCAACAGAATTTAAAAACTAATCTAGAACAACGATAACAGAATTTAAAAATTAATGTATAACAGTAACAACAAAATTTAAAAACGAATTTGGAGCAACAGGAAAAGGCTAGAGTAGAGTTATAAAAAGTCTAAAGGCAAATTAGAACTAAAATTATTGTATTAGAAAGAAGAATTCGTAGCCAAGCGTCGGTAAGCAACAATTGGAGCTGAATACACAAGCTCGTCTTCATCTATAGCCGAACCAAGGCGAGTTACACAAAACCATAGTATCAAGACCCTTGAAGCCACCCACCCATGGCCAGAAGACATGGAAAACGTATTGACTTTAATTTGAAGCTGTAGCTAGAGCCAATGGCTGGGCCGAGAAAGTTATTCATTTCTTGTCTAAGCTTCTTAAACAAGGTATGGCCAGCGGCATTTAAAATAGGTATTCCAAAGCCAGCTAAATGTTCGTGATCAGAAACATAATAAGAGTCTACAGGAGTTCGAGGCCGATATAAAAATATTGCTGCATCTGGCCTATCCAATGCGCCCAAAGATTTTCTAGAACAAATCGGCATGCAGGCATTCATCGATGAACTACACGATGTGAAACTGCAGCAGGCCCTTGGTCTACAACACCTCAACAAATTGAGTAAGACACTGATTGCAGCCCAGGAATATGAAGCAGCGAAAATCATTTCTATATTCTCGCGCAAAATTGAGAGAAATTAGATTCCAGGAAATTGAAGAGGCCACTACTAACATCTTCCTCCAACCTAATATCTCCCAAATCTTAAACATTCTGCAAAATATGCAATAAAACAGCCAAAATGAAAATAGAAGATGCTTCAATTGCAGAAGAATCGGACACCTTCAAGCAGGGCACGTTCTACAAAGAGGGAATCAGTGAATGAGGCTAGAAATTCACCTGGACCAAACTCCCGAAGCTTGTCACGAAGTCCAAGAAATAATAACAGTAGATATGGCTCACGGAGAAGCCACCCACACCTAGCCACCTTTCTAGCAATAATCATGGAAACGAATAAAGGTGTCGACACTAAGGTGCAGACGTTTCCTATAACAGCCGCAGGTCATTGCAGGTTAACAATATTAATGAGTATAATAGTTCATACTTCTTTTTAAGATTTTATCTGTAAAATTATCATAATTACTTAAAATGCTTTTTATTGTTAGTGATGCAAATCTCTGTTCTCTGCCGAAATTAAATTATCTCGGAATTCTCTAGAATATTCTGTCTATTATCTGTCCTTAATAATTAATGGGTAAACTATACACTAACTGTTTCATATTATATCCTCACAAAAGGTCCGGAGACATAGGAGATCAATTGATACCAATCCCTATATGATGGAAATGTATAGTAAACTTATGAGCCTTTTAGAAGCGAATAAATGTTTAACAACTCTGACAATTAAATCGTAACTTTTTATTATTATTTCCAATGTCATTTCACATATCAAACCTTACATGGTAACTAAAAACCTTAAGTCCTACAAAATGTTTATTTACAAACTGCTGCATATATAAGGCTAAGATCATTGTCAAGTAAATACCACTTCCGTTTTTCTTATCGCTAGAGATACTTCTAAAAGAATGAAAAATTCATCGCTGAGGAAACGAAGATACGTCCATTTAGACGATTTAAAAAGGCACCCTACTTATCCGATGGATGGTAACCAAGGAAAAGGAAACAAAATTAGGGATTACTGATTCGAAATTAAGAAGACAAGACATGACAGAAAGACGCGACATTTTTTAAAAAGACATTATTATTAAGTTTTTTTTTTGTTCAGACCTCCCGTGCTACACCCTAATCCGTCTGTAGTCTGGCAGCACTGCAGCCTGCGGCTTATTGTACCACCATTTGAAGGTCCTACTACTTTCCCATTCACACCCTCATTCATTCTCATTCATTCCACGTCGTTGATGGTTAAACGCTAGTTGGATGAATCCCATGGTGACACGGCCCATGGTGGAACCTCCCAGCGGTCACCCATCCACGACGTAACCGGAGAGATCACTGCTTAACTGTTGCGAGTACGTGGATGCACACTAAGCTCGCGGCTAGCCTCTCCGGCTTATTATTAAGTTATCATATATATTTGGATTTTTTAGAGTTAATAAATTATTTTTTTAATATTCAGATGAAAATTATTTAAATGGAAATTGCTACCTACAAATAATTTTTTGTTTCCTTTTCTTTGGTTACCATCCATCGGATAAGTAGGGTGCTAGTGTACGCAGCTATCGACCATAATATATGTGATGTTATTATAGGGGCGTTTGATTTGAAACTCGACCGAGCGAGCGTCGAGGAGACCGAGAAGTGATGACGTCACAATAGAGCATTGAATCAAATCAAATAAAACAGAGTAAAAAACATAACCTCGCTTTTCTGTGATTCTTGTTTCTGGTTTGTATGTTAAAATAGTGAGCAAAAAGTAAAGAAAATGGAAAAACTTTTAATAATAAGGGGCAATGGCCCTGAAATGCAGAATTTACCACAAATGCCCGCTTCGCTCTCACACTCCATGACTGTGATTACTGGTGATTGGATCTGGACAGAAAAAATGTATTTTCCAAACACACATTTTGTGTTTTTTTATGATGAATAATTTTAGCTATAAGACAATAGCGGCTAAGTAATTTGTTGACTTCTTGTCTGGTCTTTAATTTTGAGATTGAAATTTGTTTGTAAGTTAATTAAAAAGAGATAGGTAGAGACAAAGACAAATTTCTCCCTCTTCTCATCTTTCTGCTCTGAGAACATCGAGCTCGCTCCAAAGCGAAACAAACACTTTAGGGATCTCTCGGTGTGTCAATTCAAACACTTTTGAAGCGCTCGGAGATCTCCGATGATCAAATCAAACGCACCATATAATGGTACCATCTGACATTGACACTTGACCAACCTCAAATAAAGAAACCTTAAAATTAATTGACATAAAAGTCAAAACTAAAGATAAGACTATGTGGTGCTATGATGTCGCCACAGATACTTCGGCCAAAGCTTCGTGACATTCTAGTAGTACCCTGAATAAATTCGTGGTCTGCTATCTGCATAGATGAGCATGTTCCTTCCAGTGATATTGTTTCTGGTTATTTTTTTTGCTGCTATGAGAATCCCCGTTAGCTCTGTTTGAACTACACTGGCACTATTGCTCACAGCCCATTTTATGTTTAGGTTTAAGAATGTGGAGTATATTCCACATCCTGAGCCTTGTTTTGTTTTAGAACCGTCGGTGTAGATATGAATTGTACTTGCCACTTCTGGCTCTTGTTCTATTATAAATTTATATGGCTTATGGAAGATATATCTCGGTATGACCGATTTGTAAAGAATTTGTATCCAATATGTTACCGTTACAAACGAATTTACCTTCTACACTTTGTCCCAGATTGGTAATGCATGTATTTTTTGCTTTACTTTTTTACTATAAAGCGCTGTATGTTATCAAATAACTGAGATACGGAAGTTTATCAAAAACGCACCATTTTAGTAAAGTAACAGTACATAAACATAATAATATATTGTGTGTAACGAACTTTTAGAAATTTGCACATAATTTTCTATTTAACTAATCTCGACAATAATTCTTTATACTATGTACAAAAAGTAACTTAAGTCGATTTCTGATAGATTTTTGTCAAAAAAAGTTAAATGTAAGTTTTATGAAATAAATTAAAATTATCAGGATAAGTCAATAAGAAATATTCCAGATGCACTATTATTTAAAAATAACGCAAGGATATATTTTTTTAAGTTTACCGAGCTCTATTAAATTTAAAAAACAACACTTTAAACCGCATAGTGCTAACTTTGTTAGTTCGAATATATCTGTCACTTTTTAGTATTTTGAGAAATTAGTACCATTACATTTTTCGAATAGTGAACGTAGAAAAAATATTTTTTTTCTAGTACCATGTGTAAAGTTGTACTATTTTTTACTAGTGCTTAAAGTAACATTCTTCACGCACTAGTGACAAAAGTAAAATTTGACAAAAATTGTACATAGCAACAAAATAAAACGTTTTATATTACCATTTTTATGCTATCTCCTAAGACAAAGTAAATAATTTTTGCTTATATCTATTTAGTGTCCAACAAATGATCAACAGTTTTTTATTTTTATTGTTATAATTTTCTCTAAATCTAATCGATTTAATTAAAAGTAAACAAACCGTGGATGTCGATTTTGATAAAAGTAAGTAGGCCGTGGCTGTGTGGATTAGAAGAACTGTCAATGTCTAAACTTTTATTAGTATATCATCACAGAACACAACAGTTCAAGATTAATTTATAAAACCAATTTTCTATTTTTTAAAATCGAATCAATTTTGAGAAGGTAAAAAGTTTTTCTTAGTAATGTTTGTTTGCTTAAATTCGTATCTTATTTGCTTATATCTGTCATAATCGATATAGATTCAAATTTATCTAGCGAATTTGATAATACTCCTACTTTACGCACTAGTGAAAAAAAGTAACTTTTATATTTCTAATATTAGTGGATAATGTGTACGGTAGTAGAAAAAAATATTGTATGCAACTCCTGTGTAAAGTCCCTTTTTTGACACATGTGCTTGTGACAACATTCACATTCACTTGTTGCATAAATAACTATTTTACAAATAAACTAACATTTATATGAGACACCACCAGATCTAATTTTAAACCTACCTAGCTATTCCATAAATATTTGACTGAAAGATTGGTTAAACAAACATACCAAATTATTTTACAAACACAACAAAACTAGTAATAATAGATAATAAATCGCTCACCTTGAGACACCGGAGGCACGTGCGGTTTAGTTTCAGCTGGCTTTAACTTAGTAGCCAACGGCGTTTGCGGTCCATTCACAAGCACCTGTGCTAAATAATTCAATAACTTCTGAGCCCTGTTCCTCGTCGGAGCGAAATTAAACAATTGAGGGTTCTCATCGATGAAATAAGTATCAACAGATCCGTTCAGGAACTTTTGGTTCTCCAGCACGTTCAACAAGAAAGGAACGTTCGTTTTGACTCCTCTAACACGGAACTCCCTGAGAGCTCTGTTCATTTTGGCACAGGAGCTTTGGAGGTCCTTCGAGTGGGCTATGACTTTGACGAGTAGAGAATCGTAGTAGGGGGAGATGATGGCTCCTGCGAAGGCTGAAGCTCCATCTAAACGGATACCCATACCTTCTCCGGAACGGAATACCTCTATCCTGCCGGTGTCCGGTTGGAAATTTTTGGCTGGATCTTCCGTGGTCACACGACATTGGATGGCGAAACCCTGTGTTCAAAAAAAGAAAATAGATAATTGGTTGATAGTGGGTAACACCATCCCCCTGATTTTGTTTTTCCCACGTGCTCACTTTAAATCATTTATGACAAAAGATTGTCAAGTTGAAAGCAAAGGCTTAGCAAACAAAACGGGATCTATAACGGCGGAAAATTTTTTCTTAGCATTTGAGTATTTTATAAAATATGCAGAACCTAGCAAAGAAAGTCCTGTTATTTTATTGCTTGGTAATCATCAAAGCCATATAAGTCTGGACATTGTTGTTCACGCAAAAGAAAATCACGTGATAATTTTGACCATTCTACCGCATTGTAGCCACAAGCTACAGCCATTGGATATTGCAATATTCGGCCCATTCAAAGCCTATTATAAAGTGACTTTAAACAATTAAATGCTTTCCCATTCCGGTTCTACAGTTTCCATTTATAACATTCCAAGACTAGCGACAGAAACTTACGAGAAGGCGTTTACTTTAAAAAACATAACATCTGGTTTTAGAAAATCTATAATTTTTCCCTTTAATTCGCAAGTATTTTCTGATGAAGACTTCTTAACCTCCTATGTTTCTGATAGACCACAACCTAATTCTTGCGATGCAGATTCTAATGCTCAATTCTAAATAAATTAAACTTGTTAAAAATGTGTTTTATTTTTCAACTAATTTTATTTTTCAGTTAAAACAAGTGACATTTTCCATTTTTCAACATTTACCTACAACAAAAATTCACTAAACTTATTGTTTGTTTAGTAGTTGTAAGTAAAAGTTGTCAAATAGGAAAATGATACTTCAAATTGCTTCAAATATCTAAATTATCAAGCCCGACAATTTTAAATCGTTTTAATTAGTAGTGTTCTACTTAATCGACTGAAACTGACAGGTGTACTTCAACCGTAAGCGCTTAGCGCGCTACTGTCGATGTCAAGCAAACTTGTTGCCAATTATTTACATGGAATCCGACCCCCGTGCGATAGGTCAAGTTCAGAAGGACACAGAACATGACAGGCAACCCGTTAGACGACATTCGACGTTTAGTATGAACAAGAATGCGGCTTGTATGAATTAATGTTATAATTAAAAGTTATAGTAACAAGTGCCCGGATGTCTTTTATTCACCTACAAAACCAATAACATAACACCTCTCACGTGGAAGACAGATGCCGTATCCTCAACTCCACCCCCACATTTGGAATTTTAGTTTTAATACTCGTAATTAAATTAGTTTTATATCGTTTTATTCAAATTTAAGATTTTTTCAAAATGCGGACTTGTTCTCACTACCTAAAATGAATATGAAATATATTCGTTTAGTTGAATGCAATAGCATATTTTTTCATTTTGTAATATGTGCGTAGATAATAATATTCATGTGAGTGTAGAAAAACATAATTCTCAGACAACATGACAATTCTATATGAAAACCAATATAAATTCCAAAAAAACCAGAAACTCAAGTTTCTTCAATTCGTAACAAACTAAGACAAAACCCACAATAGGCCAGAAGCGACGAATAAATTTTGCTTTTTCTGAATTCAATTCAATTAAAGACGAACTCAAGTGATGCTCCTAGGGAAGAGTATTATTATGATTTTCCCCACGCCAATTTTGAGGGTATACGTCAATGTTTGGAGGCAATGGACTGAGATGGGCTTATTCAAGGAAAGCAACTTTCAGAAATGATTCTTACTCTTTATGAAGCTTTGTACTTGGTAGTTGAGTTGTTTCCTTAAAGAAATTTATTATAAACAGATTCCCACATTGATATTATTTTTAATTCAGAAGCTTGGTCAACGATAAAAAGGTTGCACATAAGATTTACAAGCTGAACAGGACACCCCAAAATTATGAAAAATTGAGTCAGTTAAGATCACAAAGTAGGATTATACCTAGAGAATGCTATTCAAATTACATACATTCTGTTGAAACTTCTGTTAAAAGTAATGTTAAAGCTTTTTTGAATTTTGTAAGTACCACAAGATCTAATAACACCATACCTGATAATATGAACCTTGAAGACTCTTTACGAGAAATTATCTAATCTTGACATAAAAGAAAGGTTCAGGTCCTAACATTATTCCCCCCATCCTACTCAAAAATTGCAGCTTCGTATTGTTTCGCCCTCTCTTCTATATTTTCAATAAATCTATCGCCACGGGTGAGTTTTCTGATTATTGGAAACTATCTTATGTCACCCTAATATACAAATCGGGTAGCAAGTCAGACGTCAAAAATTACCGACCTATATCTATTCTCAGTACTAAGGTTCTTGAGAACATTATAACAGACTACCTTACCTATGACTGCTCCGGCATCATAACGGATCATCAATTAGGCATTCCAACGACCTGTCCAAATGGCTACCAGTGGGTACTGACAGTTTAGATATGGCAACCCTGTTGTCATGTTGTCATTAACAGGGTCAATGATACATATATGTTATATACATTGCTCAAAGCTGGTCGTTTGCGAGCAGCCATATTGCCTGGCAAATATTTATTAATTTGAATCAGTTTAGCAAAAATGTGTTTTAAAACCAATTTTCAGACTTTAGATATTTAAAAAATAATAATTGCTTATATGTTTACTTCAAGGCATAAGCTTATGTTTATTTTAAAAAATAGGGATGATCAATCTATGTAACTATCTATTTCACTCACCTTGTCAAATCACGGCCTACAGAGTTGCCATAACTTTGCCACATCATAACCTGTCAAAACCCACTGGTAGTCATTCAGTTTGGAATGCCTAATATGGTTTTTGTGCTGGAAAATCGACTGAATTAAATCTAGTTACCTACGTCGACTTCCTGTCGGAGGCTTTGTAGAAGTGTTGCCAGATTGATTCTGTGTACACTGACTTTTCTAAGGCTTTTGACAGGGTCAACCATTCTCTCTTACTTCAAAAGCTCGATACATATGGCATAAATGGGGTCGTACTGCAATGGATTAGTAGCTATCTTACGAACAGAACTTAAATGGTTAGAGCAAACCATCACTATTCTAACTCATTTCAAGTTACCTCAGGTGTTCCTCAAGGATCACACCTTGGTCCCTTTATAAATCATTTTCACAGCCATCTATGTGTTACGCTTTCATAGTGCAATAAGTCACTAAATAATTAAAATATTATATATTTGTAATCAGGAAATGCAAGTCTACTTAAAATGACAAAAATATATAGGGGGTCCTATTAAAAAAATTAAATTATATTGTCAGTTATTACTTTTTTAGTCGGTACAGGTTAAACAACAAAGCTTTTACTCAAAACTTTTTTTTCTGTTCCTCAATAAAAATGAAAATAAGTAGCGGTCAAAAAATAATGAAAACCCTGTACCTGCTAGTAGAAGTTTGATTGGTCATGGGTATTTCGAATTAGTTAAAAATATACAATTACGGCCATTTATAGAGTGTGTAACAAAAGACAAGCACGCTTAAAATTAATAAAAACTAAATAAAACCAGCAAGTAATTAATAATTATTATAATTTCAGTTTTTAAGTAAATTTAACAAAACGACGTCACAACTCCGTGAAATATAAAAATAACTGAATAGGTATTTCCTAAAAATAAATCATTTAAAAACTACTTAATTGGCCTCTAATGACTTCGCTCTTAAATACCGTAAATATTTTAAATACTGGATAATAAATATGATAATTTAACATAGTTACCTCTGATTGTTATACCATTAAAAATGGTTTAATTTTGTGTGTTCACATAAAATATGACATTGCTATTAGTTTCTTCTGTTCGTTACTCGGTCCCGATGTCTTCATTTATTATTTCTATTTGATATTTTATGCCACGATATAATTTGTAATATTTCTAATATTGTGATACAAAATAAATATATTGAAAAAATGTATTGATATATTATCGAATATGAATTGTTCTTGTTGCAAATATATAAGTTGTCGTGGAAAAAATAAAGTGTGCAACATATGAGAAAACCCTTTATCTTACTTGTTGCACAAATGACTATTAAATTTTAGAAACAGGATAATTTCCTAACCGAAGTAAATTTTTTTGTGTATTATAGAAATTATACAAATTCTTTGGTACCTACACAATATGAAACAAAAAGTTATCGTTTCGTCTACAAATATTTTAAAATGTTTATTGTTCGTCGATGTTATTTAAAAAATGTTAATGTGACTGCACCAGAAGATGGAAACATTTAGATTTCCGAAACATGTGCTTTTACATAAAATCCAAATGACCGATACTACCAAATAACTCTGTTTTAATTCTATAATATTAAATTTTAGTTTGTTTTTCTTTTAATTTGCTCACAATTATGTCGATTTAAGTATTTCAACGTGATTGTAATTGGTTATTAATAGACTATTTACTTGACTCATTGAAAAAATGTATATTGCTTTTTTATCATTAAAACTTTAGGTTTTATTATTTGTAAACCTTTAATTTTTATTATTTTTAAAATTATATCATTAAGGCGAGAGTTTAATTGCGTTTATTTGTATTTCCTAATAAATTTGAAAACTATACAAGATAAAGAGCTAAGATTTGGTAGACATATTTAAAATAAATCAGAGCAGTTGCTGACGACAATATAAATAATGTTACTTTGAGATTAATAAAAATAAATGTTTGAACAATTATAAAAAAAAATTAATATGATTTTTACAAGGAGTCAAGCAAATACTATAATAATAATCAAATACAATCACGTTGAACCCAATTCTCAAATCAATCTAATAACGGAGAAAATTGAGAAATAAAATGCAGAAGGAAGGTCTGCCTCTGCTTGAAGTACTCAAAAAAAAGTAGTGTAGGAAACGGGTTGGTATCCGGAAGTCAACTAGCTCAAAAACATGAACAAATCGAAATCTTTGATTTACCGCCCATAGGCGGAGATATATTTTTTTACATGAAATGTTATTTGTATATTATTCATCATTGAGTCAAAATACTTGATTTCAGTTCTTTTTTCCGCATTCAATAAGATTTTGGAATGGACCTATCCGACATTTAATCTTAGTATTAATTAAAAATGTTCTTCTAATTTAACTGACAAAGTAATATTTATATTAACAATCCACCTACTTTAAGTAACTATTTACATAATTTAAACAATATGAAACAAGTTATGTCATAATTATGTTTATTATTGCAAAAATAGAAAAACGTTTTTGGTACATATTTAAATTAATATATTATGTATACCTCTATTGATTTTGAAAGTATATATTCGCTATTTTAAAAAGTCTTAATTCATCCTAAACCTGAACAAAATAATCAAAACACTGTTTCACTCAATATATAAGAAAAAAATTAAAATATCCATAACTATGTACTATGCAAAATAACCCACTTTCTCGGAAACTAACAAGAAAAGGGAAACTGTTTGTGATGATAAATATTTAAATATTTTAAAAGTACAGATTGGTATGAAGTTGAGTATTATTTCCAAATATAAATTTTCTAATATCTTTAATTGGAAGTAACAAAAATTATTTTTCCAAACAATTCTATAAAGACAATAATCTACTCAAAATTAAAAAAAAAATTAAATAATAAACACACGTCACGACTACACTGCCTGTTCCCAATTTCTTCTGCTTCTAAATGTTTTAAGCGACCAGCTCGTCCATACCGGTTGATCTTAGCAAGGTAGAGAATGGTAATAAATTGGACTACTGTATATTTCGTACAGAGTTAAATCATAATATTTTTATAACTATATTCCTGGTATACTTATGTCAAAGAGTATCGTATAATCAATACGTCCGGTAGTGACCCCTTTTTAAAATTATATTGAGATATTGAAGCATCTTCAAAATGTCCTATTAATATTATCATGTGAACCCTAAAGCTTGTCGTAATTAAAAAATACACCAGTCCTTTCCATTAGCCTGATACATAGTTCCAATGTTAAGCCTCAGCCCCCTTTCCTTCCTTAATTCCGTTATTTTTAAAATAAAGATGCATTTTAATAAAATATTCTAAAAATATAAGACATATTGGGATTTATAATATGGATCGGCATCACTGTAATATATCCCTGTGGCTTTTGGGAGACATATGATAACTCCAAACACATAATATGCAAATTATTATACAAGATTATACCAAACAAAAATTAATAAAGTGAACTTATCGATATTTTATTAAACTATAACAGATTTACTAACAGAGCTGGACTTAACATAGATCAAATGAAAATTCTTAAAAAAAATATTTATGTTAGTGGAGTTAACAAGAAATCCATTATTTTGGAGTTAACATATGTCTCCTAAATGTCACAGGTTGAGTGCACAAAATGCGATCACCTGAGAGTCAGTAGCAGAAGCTTTGGTCCAAATTAGGGTAAATAGCTTTGAGAACGTTTTTTGTTTAACGCTGTTATTACGGGTTCAAATATAAGATATGTAACGGCTTTTTATTGCTAAGGAGGTCGTTTTAAACTGCCACCTTAATATTGGCATCAGCATCAAGTAAAATTAAATGCTACTAAACTCTCGCCTTAAACCGCAGACGTTGCACTGTTTACATTTGTTTCTACTTACGCTGGGCTTGATTGTTTCCTGAGAAATACCCAATTCGGGCAATGTCATTCCTTCTGCGACCCTAATTTGGGACTGCACCAAATCGATGCCGGTAATTTCTTCAGTTACGGTATGTTCCACTTGCAACCTAGCATTGACTTCGATGAAGTAGAAGTTGCCTTTTTCGTCGCACAAAAATTCTACTGTCCCGGCGTTCTCGTAGCCCACGTGCCTCGCTAGTTTGACAGCCAACGACGTCATTTGTTCTCTGATTTTGGGGTCTAAATGGGGCGCCGGGGCCATTTCTACTACCTTTTGATGACGACGTTGAACCGAGCAATCTCGTTCGAATAGATGAACTACATTTCCAGCTTTGTCACCTATAATATGGGAAATAATAATTATTTTTTTGGGTAATTATACTTATAGTCCACTACTGAAATAATAGATAGTAATTTAATGCCCAGAAAATGTAAAAACGATAATAAAGGTGCCATATCCACCACTGAAAAAACCTTTGTCCCGTATCTTCCAAAAATGTCTTCAAACTTTGACGCAATGACATATGACAGCATTTTTGATACATTAAATGATTGTCTATTATTTCGGTATTCAACTATAATAATAGGTAATAAAATTTCTTTATTTCCATGTACCTATAGGTCTGTTCCAACAACGGTCAGAAACCAGTCACCGACACCAAGATTCTGCGCAGTATACAGTTTGGCGGTCGAAATAATCAACTGCGCAGAATCCTGGTGTCAATGACTGGTTTCTGATTGTTGTTGGAACAGACCTTATGTATATGTAAAGAATGAAATGGTACATAAAATTAGGAAACATTAAGGGGTAGTTCACCTATGATGGTGCTCTTTTACTCGCCCTTAATCTATTGTAACTATCACTATTAATAATCAATTACAAATAATAATAAACCTAACTCAACACAATCTAAAGATTAAGGTTACTGGTCATCAAGAAAGACAAAAGAAAAATATGATTATAAAAAAATATCAGGTATAACCTTATTTCATTTTTAAATTTCATTGGATTTAATATAATTTTGTGGCAAAAAATTGTATGAGAAATTAATATTTTAATGAAAACTTCTCTCGAAAAAAGTTATTTTATGTTCATGGAAGGCGGAAAACGTTGTGCTGAGATGGTCAGCGGTGATTGAAAGGTAGTTGAAATCATACGATATTGAAATAAAATGAAAAAACATGACAAATCATAAAATATTGTGTTACTTAGTTGAAAAAACTAATTTCAGACCAATAATCCTTCTTCCAGTCTTGGGAAAACTATTTGAAAACTCATTAAAGAAAAACTATCAGCATTAGCACACGAACGAATTGTGCAATTTTAATTTGGGTTTAGAGAACAAATCTCCAGTCTGTTACCAACTACACTGCTAGTTTTTAATGTTCAAATTCCAAAATTGAACAATAACAAATCTGCCATTATCGTGTCGGACCCTAAAAAAGGCATTTGACAGCTTCTGGCACAACGGTCTCTTATAGAAATTAAAACCTTAGATTAGAGAGACCGGAGATGTAACATTGCACCCTGCGCATGTTGTCTATTTCAACTTTAATCAACCCACCAATTAAAAGTCATTGTTTCCACGACGCCACCCGAATTGCTCCGACATTTCTATTCTACGCTCATCTTAGCGTGAGTGAATCATCAAGGATCGTCGTTTTTGTAATTATTTGTTGGTATTATTAGTACTTTAAAATGTTTTAGATATTCATTTTCTAGTTGAAAATGTCACGATGTATCGTGACAAATTGTATATACTACAAATAATATAAGTGCCAATGTTATGAAAAATAGGAAATATATTCGTTTTCAACGGTAAATATTTATCAACGTTTTGACATAAATCCGCCATGATCGTTTGCGCTAAATACTTCAGATCCGCATTAAGGGCTTTCCATAAATATTAAGCATCAAATATTTCAGAAAACAGATCTATATATACATAAATTTAGAAAAGGGCAACATTTTGAATATTTAATTTAAATAAGAAGTAAATAGGCATTGTATTTAAAAAGTAGTTTTATAAGAATATTTACTAAAGGTGATTTTAGCCCTTTTTGGTAGATACTTAAATAAGAAGTAAAGAAGCATAGTTGCAACGAAATTTTATCTTTATAAAGTATTAATTAAGAATATTAGATAAAAAACAGAATGACCTACTTAAAATTTTAAAGTTCATCTAATTTTTAAAATCGAAAGTGACTTTTGGATCTGAAGTTTTAAAACAAAGTAAAATGCACAACGTGATCTAGTTTAAGCCAAAAAAGAAATAAACTTACGGGAGTCACTTTGTTATTAAAATGTTACATTATAAACTCCTAAACAACTCGAAAAAATGCTGTTTACTAAAAATTCAAAATTCTTGCAATATTTATTATTTATTATACAATCGAACGAGATCAAAAAATCCGAATCTCTAAATTCTGAAGATAAATGCTCGGATAAAAGTAAGCGACCGATAGGGGTTAAAAAAATAATCGATAATTTGATTATTCTGTAGTTTTTATAAAAATCGATTTATCCGTTATAATTAATCGATTATTTTCGATTAATCGAATATTTTCAATAATATAATAATCGAATTTAAAGGAAATACAAAACTAAAATAGATTTATTGAAAACAATCGATTGATTAAAAATAATCAAAAATAATCCATTTTGTTTTAGAAAAATCGATTTATCGTTTAATATGCATTTTTAATTAATCCATTATTTTCTAATAATTTATTATTTTCGATTATTTTTAATTATTTTTAATTATTTTTAATTATTTTCGATTATTTCGATTATTTCGATTATTTTTGATTATTTTCGATTATTTTCGATTATTTTTGATTATTTTCGATTATTTTCGATTATTTTCGATTATTTTCGATTATTTTCGATTATTTTCGATTATTTTCGATTATTTTCGATTATTTTCGATTATTTTCGATTATTTTCGATTATTTTCGATTATTTTCGATTATTTTTGATTATTTTCGATTATTTTCGATTATTTTCAAATAATTTCGATTATTTTTGATTATTTTTGATTATTTTTAATTATTATTGATCATTATCGATTATTTTCGATTATTTTCGATTATTTTCGATTATTTTCGATTATTTTCGATTATGTTCGATTACTTAAGATTATTTTCAATTATTTTCGATTATTTTTGATTATTTTCGATTATTTTCGATTATTTTCGATTATCTTCGATTATTTTCGATTATTTTCGATTATTTTCGATTATTTTCGATTATTTTCGATTATTTTCGATTATTTTCGATTATTTTCGATTATTTTCGATTATTTTCGATTATTTTCGATTATTTTCGATTATTTTCGATTATTTTCGATTATTTTCGATTATTTTCGATTATTTTCGATTATTTTTGATTATTTTCGATTATTTTCGATTATTTTCGATTATTTTTGATTATTTTCGATTATTTTCGATTATTTTCCATTATTTTCTATTATTTTCGATTATTTTCGATTATTTTCGATTATTTTCGATTATTTTCGATTATTTTCGATTATTTTCGATTATTTTCGATTATTTTCGATTATTTTTGATTATTTTCGATTATTTTCGATTATTTTCGATTATTTTCGATTATTTTCGATTATTTTCGATTATTTTCGATTATTTTCGATTATTTTCGATTATTTTCGATTATTTTCGATTATTTTCGATTATTTTCGATTATTTTCGATTATTTTCGATTATTTTCGATTATTTTCGATTATTTTCGATTATTTTCGATTATTTTCAAATAATTTCGATTAATTTTGATTATTTTCGATTATTTTCGATTATTTTCGATTATTTTCGATTATTTTCGATTATTTTCGAATATTTTCGATTATTTTCGATTATTTTCGATTATTTTCGATTATTTTCGATTATTTTCGATTATTTTCGATTATTTTCGATTATTTTCGATTTCTAAGGTCAAATAATTTATTTTAGAATACGAAAAAAATAGATTATGAAAATATTCGATTGATCAAATAAAATGGTTTATTTTTTATAATCGATATTTCGGTTATTTTTTTTTAAATTATCGATTTATCGCTTAATTGACTTTTTAATTAATCGATTATTTTCGATTTTTCAAAGATAATCGAATAATCAATTTTAAAGGAAATACAAAGAAAAAAATATATTATTTAAAAATAATCGTTAATTCGGTTATTTTTTTTTTTGGAAAATCGATTTATTGTAAAATCACCTTCTAAATTAATTATTTTCGAGCTACAGAAGATAATCGAATATTCAATTTTAAAGCAAATACGAAAAAACAGATATGAAAATAATCTGTTGATATTCGGTTATTTAAAACAATCGATAATTCGATTACTTTTTTTTTGAAAAATGGATTTATCGGTTAATCGGTTTCTTATTTAATCGATTATATTTGATTATTCGAATATTTTTGATTAATCGAATATTTTTGATTACTCGAATATTTTCGATTTTTAATAAATTGTCGAATAATCTATTTCAACGGAAATACGAAGAAAAATAGATTATTTGAAAATAATCGATTATTTAAAATAGTCGATAAATTGTTTATTATTTTTTGGAAACACCGATTTATATATGTCAATCGGTTTTTTAACTGATTGATTATTTTCGATTTTTCAAAGATAATCGAATAAATGATTTTAAAGAAAATACGAAAAGAAGTAGATGATTTAAAAATAATCGATTGATCGAAAATAATCGATTATTTTCAATAATTGATAATTTATTTCGATAATAGCTCACGCCCAGCGACCAAATGAATTTTATTAGGTTTAAATTTTAAAATGTTTTCCGGTTTCAGAAATATGCATTTCTAGAGATTTATGTGACACATCTTCTATATTAATTAATATTCCTACAAAAATAAGCTTAAATATTCGCTTAGTAAGAAGCAAAAGCGACATTCGCAAGCTGCGTTTAATTCGAGCACTTAAGGGCGATATTTTGTAATTCTGACGTATCAAATACACGTATACATTTTAATTTTTGTTTTCAAAAAACTAGGTAAAAACAATACAATAAGCAACCGGAGTTGATGTAAATTTTAAAAATACAAGCAAAAAAAACAGTGTAAATTATAAACATTTTCAGTAGCAAAGTGGAAATTAAATCAATGAAATAAATGGATAGCTGTAAAATAAGAAGAAAAAATTACCTTTATATTTGTAATAATAACAGTAATACTGGAAATAGTAGAAATCAGAAACTTGAAAAATTTTAAATAAACAATAAATTATCATTTTATAATGTTCTTTAACATCCCTTTAATATTAAATGTTTAGCAAGAACTAGATTTATGCCTTTGATTATTGTAT